CTTCATCAGTAAATGTCCTATCATCGGTAACAGTCACATCAGTGGTAGTATCTCCACCAAGAGCTTCACCGTTTTCCTACTCAAAACTGAGTAGTTTCTTCTTCGACGGTGGCACGTCTTCAGCAGCGTCATTTGTTCGGTTGTCCACGTCGTCCCAACTGAAATGATCTGGACCATGATAACGCCAAAGCCTGTTGGCATGCGCCACTTTTGGCTTACCTTTGGCTTAAATGTGGGCGTGAGAATAGTCACGTGATCTCGCTGACGCAACAGTACATACATGGTATAATACACAACACTAGGACCAATTGCAGTTTACTATGATTGTGAGCGTGTAACGATGAAACCAATAGCAGCTTACTGTAATTATACGTTTGTAACAATGAGACCAATAGCAGTTTAATGTGATTGTGAGTGTACAATACTGAGACTAATAACATTTTGCTATAGTTGTGAATGTCAAACAATGAGACCAACAGTAACTGACTATAATTTTGAGTGTATAATACTGAAATCAACGCCAGTTTATTAATGATTGTGAGTTTGAAACATTGAGGCCAATAGCAGGTTTACTATCGCTGTGAATGTTATATTTTGATACCAATAGCAGTTTGATATGGTTGTAAATATTGCACTATGATGCGACTAATGGCAGTTTATTATGACTATGAATATAAAAAGGTGCAGTAAATCGAATTTCACTACGACATTGTGTGATAAGTACTAAGTTAACTTTTAAAAGATGGTGAATACCTTTCTGAACAACTGTAACATGGACTTGTAAAATGTTTATGAAATGGAAGATGCGTCACAACTGTGCTGCTGTTTGTTTTTCTTACTTCAATACAAACTAGAATAACCTAAAATTAGCCTCAGCCTAAATTAAAGATGAGGGACCACCTACAAATACGGAAACAATTACACAATAACAAATAAATTACTCTTTATAATTAGAATAACCTAAAATTAACCTAAGCCTAACCTAAAGATGAGGGACGACCTACAAATACGGAAACAATTACATAATAACAAATACATTGCTCTTTATAATTAAAATAACCAAAAATTAACCTAAGCCTAACCTAAAGATGAGGGTCGACCTAGAGATATGAAACAATTACATAATAACAAATACATTACTCTGCAAACAGGCTTCTTTCACGTATCTAGTTTACTCTCGCAAGGTTTGTAGTAAGATTTAATATTGACAAGGATGCAACCACAGTATCCGCTAAATAATAAATTTTTATTTTATTTGTGTTTAATCGCAAAGTTACACAACTAACTATCTACACCGTGGATATTGAACCCCAATTTTTAGCGTTATTAATTTACCAATTAGCTACCGGATTAATATATCCCACCATTTTCACAATTTCGTAATAATCACATTTTTCATTCGTATGAAATCTAACATTATACGTTTCGTGTTCGTAATTTCGTAATTTTATATTTTATTTTATTTACCAAATATGCTTTATTTTGATTCAGTAAGACACACACACGTGACAGACCCTCCAAGAAAAACATTACCTAAATTTTAATATAATATAGATCAATGACTAACTTTTAATAATATATTTACTTAAAACCTCTGTCTTCCCTAATAATAGACGAGAAATGATGGACCGTATGCTACAATTAAAAGGAGTCCTCCACGTCCTGTGTGTTATTTACCTTCAATGAGCCAGGGTAAGTATAAGTAATTCTTAATCAGAATTCTATCTGGACGAAGCGTCTATCAAACCGAAGTACAAGGTATAGCATAAAAGTACTATCACTCTGGTCTTTTCACTCAGCTGAGGAACAGTAACAGAAGTAACTCCAACAAGATATTATGTATCTTTGAGATGACTTATTTTTGTGGTTATACAGCCTCATCTGGACAGCGACTGTCGCCAGGAAATACATTTATTCTATGAGTTCTGTTACTATTTGGCCATCCTGTACATTTTAATGTATGCCAATCCAATATTTCTTGAGAAAAAACATATTTTAGGAATAACTGAATAATCATCTCTTTACTCGTTTCTAATACAGACCTTGTAGGTGGATTTCATATAATCACGAAATGACAGAAATTAATAATAATCTAAAAGATAAATTACTTAAATGGATTTCTTAAGTAAAAGATAGTGCATCTTTATACGTTATAATGCAAACCAGTTTTGAAAACAATTTCTGATAATAACTCTAATTGAAATGTCTTGTGGTGAATATTTCATTGGCTAAAAGACAACTCATGTGACTAAACACTTGATAAAAAGATAGAATTAATTAAGTTTCGATTTTTCTTAATTGTTGAATCTTTTAATTTAAATCATTCGAGCTTCGGTCGGATGTGGCGTAGTTGAATGACTGACTATCGTGCGTATTTTGAACATTAGTGGTTAACGTAAAAGTTATAAAAGTAACTATTAGTCCCCGTATTCGGTTCAAAGAACCTGATAAAGACCTTATGGTAGCGGGTGCTGCTGACTGGTTGCCCTTCCTCTGGCCAGGAGGTCAAAATTAGGAACGTCCATAGATAAACCCTATAAATCTTTAACCTCCTCATTTACTCTATGTATTGCATAAAGTGCCGTTCATATTGAAAATTCCCTTTCTATTCTAGCTATCAGCTACTAAGCAGACCGAGCGTGGCCTATTGGTTCGCGCCCTGGACCTTAGAGCTCAGGCTCAGTATTTCACTTAACCGTATCCTCACAAACAAATTGTTTTCCGCATTTTGATGTCGTGCATGTGTGCATTATAATAGTGACTGTCAAATCCCACTATTAGATCTGAAAGAGTAGCCCAACAGATGGAGGTGGGTGGTGTTGACTAGCTGTTTTCCCTCTAATTTATCAATTCCAAATCATGGACGGCCCTCAAGTAGTTTAGTGCAAAGTAAAACAAGCAAACTAACAAAATTAAAAATATTAAGCATCGAATATATAATGGCTTTCACTCTGTAATATATCTTTTTATATGAGCATAGGTTTTGTACGTTCAGTAAGAAAAAAAAAAGAGTTCTTCACGGTATACATGTGGATAATAAGTTTCGTGTTAACCTTAGTTTCTAAGTGTGTGAAAGATGATTAGTCTCCCCCCTTCCCCCCCTGTGCTTAATTCGGACTTAAATATTCAACTGGAAGATTAACTAGAGTTTACTCTTTCATCAGAAGAGTAATAATGAGATATTTATACGGCTCTACTTGGCCTAACTAATATAACTTAATGTCTGAAGTCAGTACTGTAAAACCTTTAGCGAAGACATTCAACGAAATGCCTGTTCTAACAAGTGGGCATAACATTATTTTTCTCTGTACCCTAAAACGGTTTTATTTTGATACTGACTTCACGCCCATTCAAAGGTTAAATCTTAAGAAAAAAACTGTTGAAAGGAATTGGAAAAAAGTCAAGTAATTTCTCTAAGGCGACGCACGTGAAACTACTAACGTGATAGAAAATGTAAGAATTCTTTCAACGACCCTCATTTTACAGTATCTAACGTCAGTTTACTCATGTAAAAGTCAGCAAACCCAATAGGACGCGGGCAAGTAAAATAAGAGTCCCAAGTCATTTCCATAACCTCCTCACATGAGCAATGTGAAGTTTAACCCTAATTACATGATTAATAGTGTAAATTATGAAGGAAGTATTTAAAAGATTCGATAACATACACATCCTCTTACCCTTTTTTTTTCATCACTTCCCTTAAAAATATTGTACATACAGATCATAAATTCTTTATTAATATATATATTCGTAGGAGTCAAACTAAGGTCAACCCAACAGGCGACGTCCCCTGAGCGATCATATTGTCAGTCTGGTTCAAGTCCATCTGGGTCCAGTGGAGATAGACCGTGTAGTATGTGAAGGTAAAATAAGATATCGTGAGTAAAACATACGTGATGACTATGCAAATACAGGCTCAGTGATATTAAAATAATTAGTTGTCAATAGATGGCGGTAAATACGTATGGAACAAAATCAGAGACATTTGCTTCAAGTATTAAAATCTTTAACAATAATTTTGAAAATTTAAAATACTTTAAGAAATACACTTTAGCAATTTCTTCTTTCTTTTTGCAGTTAAGAAAGTTTCTGTAGCCCCGCGCTTATAAATAGAAGTCAACTGACGTGCTGCAAAGACCCCTTTAGGTACAAATTACATTGAAATTCATTTAGTATACATACTGTTTGTAATCACACTTCCAATCACTCACTAAGTAATCTCAATCGAGAATTTTTTTTTAGGGTTTCAGAAAAATTGGCATTTTTCTAAACAACAATAAATCCAAGCTAATCTTCTATGGCCATTGATAGGACTAGAATAACAAAAAACGTGTATTGGTTTGTTGCCAAAGGCGGTTGCATTAATATATCTTAGATGTTTTAACGGAATCTTCCTTACTTTATCTCTGAGACCATATGGTGACGAAATACGTTTTATAACTAGGTTTATAAATTCTCTTACTCTATAGGTGTCGGCTTGATAACGCACGTAGACATTTAGGTGCTGAAACGGAAGCAAAGTAGTAGAAAAAAGGTTGTTAAAATAAACGTTTTTTTTTGCTTTATCTTAATGATTGTTTGTAATTGAGCACAAAGGCTACACAATGGGCTATCTGTGCTCTCCCACCACGAAACCCAGTTTCTAGCGTTGTAAGTCCGCAGACATACCGCTGTGCCACTGGGGGGGGGGGGGGCTTATCTTAATGAGGGCTAAACTTTAAAGCGCTTAATATTATCCATAAATAAGCTTATATACGTCGCTTATTAAACGTTGATATCATTCATATAATTCAAATAGTGTAGCTCCTAGTTCCTACCATAAATTAAACTGTTCTTGTTTGTCTTTAGTTACAGGTTGTAAGGGTTCTTCCGTTTCTCCCTACGTGACATCCTCTCTTTTGTACATGCCCTTCTGCAGTGATTGTCTTCCTAAGTTCTCCAGTGGCTGAGTATTTGTATTTCTCCGTCCTCTTTTACAAGTCTTTATGAAACGCATGATTCCTCGGAAGATCGCTAAGAAGTTTGTAATAGCTGTAATCAATCTGTACATTATTGAGTTATTAATACAAGGTCTAAATGCCTCATTATTGAGTTATTAATACGAAGTCTAAATGCCTCATTATTGAGTTATTAATACGAAGTCTAAATGCCTCATTATTGAGTTATTAATACAAGGTCTAAATGCCTCATTATTGAGTTATTAATACGAAGTCTAAATGCCTCATTATTGAGTTATTAATACAAGGTCTAAATGCCTCATTATTGAGTTATTAATACGAGGTCTAAACGCCTCATTATTGAGTTATTAATACGAAGTATAAATGTCTCATTATTGAGTTATTAATACGAGGTCTAAATGCCTCATTATTGAGCTATTAATACGAGGTCTAAATGCCTCATTATTGAGTTACTAATACGAGGTCTAAATGCTCATTATTGAGTTATTAATACGAGGTCTAAATGCCTCATTATTTAGTTATTAAAACGAGGTCTAAACGCCTCATTATTGAGTTATTAATACGAGATCTAAATGGCTCATAATTGAGTTATTAATACGAGGTCTAAATGCCTCATTATTTAGTTATTAATACGAGGTCTAAATTCATCATTATTGAGTTCGAAAATTACTTATACCCATCCAACAATATACAGAGTTATTTGCTTTTTTTTCATTTTTCAAATTTGCAATTTTCGATTTGACAAACCATTATTTTTAACTTCTTATTCGCAGTTTTTTTAATAACCGTACAGTTAAAACTTTTTCATTCCCATCTTGGACGTTCAACCATTATCTGCAAATGTTTTATCTTCGAATTAACTATAAACTAACTTTTTTATTTGTAATATGTTATATTTTACTTTGAGAAATAATCTCACGATTAACCTTTACTAATTTATTCTATAACCTTATCTTAGTAAAAACATTTCTGTGTCCTTTTAGTAAAATACCAACACAGACATGGTTCCGATTGTATTGAATAATATATTGTTTAACACTAATAAACAATTTATTACCAAATACTTATTCTCTAGTCAGGTTTTGTTTTCTTGTGCTTTATACAAGTTAGCATAAAAGTCACCCACCATTATGATATTACCGAGTCAATCCCTTACTCATTTTTTTTCTAACTCGAGTTTATGTTTCACTAACTCTATATGTTTTTCTTTTGTTAAAATAATTGGTTATGATATCAACGGTGCACATTTCTAGCAGTTCTGAGAACAGTACAGGATTAAAGTGTGGTGGTGTACGACTTTTGTCGCACCCTGTACATTGATTTTTTTTCCCATTATTTCCAGCATATTGAAGAAGCTGAGCCATCATAGAATGGGCAATTTTTTTTATATATATGTGAAAGGTGGTTTTGGTTTCTTTTTACTTCATGGAACTTTCGTTATGTTTTGTTATTCCTTACTTATCTTCTTTTTTAATAGAAATGCTTTTCTCTGCTGACTTCTTTTGTGTAGAGCATGATCATTTGTGTGCCTTTCATCAACTCATTTCGATCAATGTAGAGGTCGCTTTTCGTGTTCATCACCAGAATGCACTTGGGTAATAACAAATGTTAAAAAAAAACGTACTGTATGTATATATATATAAAGATGTATGTAAGATAAATGTTGTTTTTTCTGCATTTTTTTTTCTGATATAGTCCAGAAAAATAAAGTATTTTGTAGTTAAACACACACACAATCGGATAACAACAAGAGTTTATACTTTGTGTCAAGAGATTGATAATTCATATCAAAACCCGTATGGAATTTTAATTATGACTACTTGTGCTTGCCAGTTTTTTTATCTTTAAATTTAAATGATTAATGTATAAAAACATCTCACGTTTCTTCTATATATGTTAAACTATCCTGTGAAAGTTAAAAATCCCATAATTAAACGTGTGTTATGCTAATTATTATAAGAAACGTGGTTGACATTCGTCACAAAAATTATATAGTTCGCTTCGTAAAAAAAAACAAAAACAAAAAAAAAACAACAACACAAGAATAAATCATAAGATAAAAAAACAGTTAAAATTCAAAATGAGTAATAAAATATATGTTTATTTTTTAACCGTTTTCAAAAATGCCAGTTATTTGTTGGCCTGTCCCACGTGATTTGGTATTTTGCATATTATAACAAAAGTGATATAAAAATGGATAGACACGTTACTACTGTCAAATGACGTCTGACCATTAGGGCCCATTGGTTTTTGGTTTTTTCCATGGTGAAAAAAAAAAACACGTCATCGAGACTCGTTTTACCATTGACGTTTATTTGCTTACGACAGTATTCAAAAAAATATACATATGTGACACTGTGCTCTTCAAAAGCTGGAAACTCTTGAGTATTGGGAATTACGATTGAAGCTCAAACAAAGTGGTGTGAAACTCAAAATAACTGTGTTTTTTGTTTTTTACTTTAAAGAATAGGTTACGTAAAAATACAAAGAAAACCGTTGTTTGTAAATAATTCGTTTCACCACTTGTTACTGAGTTATACCTGTTTCGGCGAATTTCACCCTCATCAGTAACCCTGGACAAGGGTAAAACGAAGAAATAAGACAAGGCTTGTTATTGTGGTGGACTATATATACACTACACACACATGGTGTTTTTTTGTTGTATTCTACCCACTACAATGAACCTATAATGATATAAGATTTGAAAGAATATATAGCATATAACAGTGACAATTGTCGAAACAAATGATAAATTTGGCTTCATATTTATTTTTAGTATAATTAAAAAAAAAACTTGTCTAATGAATAATTTAGAAGAATAAATAAGTAATATCCATGCTACGTATTCTTCAAATCCTATAGTAAAATAGGTTCACACTGGTAAATAAAAAGCAACTACAACACCGTACACGTTACCGAATTCACACAAATCATCCTCAGTAAATTCCTACAGTAAATTCAAACTCATAATTACAACTAATAGGCTAATTATTAAGTATAAGTTTATGGTTACACTGACAAAACCAAACGCCATTTAATTGTACGTATCTATGGGGATCTTTTACAGAACCAGTCACCCCTTATCACCCCCCTGCACCTCATCCATCTACGCACACATTGTGAAATTACTGGACATAAATTCTTTTCAACAGATTTTAAAGTTTTAGCTACATGTCATACAGGTTTGGAACTTCTAATTAAAGAGAGTATACTTATTAACAAAATATCCCTATCTTAAATAATAAATCTGCTTGTTGAACCAAGCTTGTTTAATTCTTTCTCACTTACTGTATAGATACTTTTACAAATTTATTTAGTGTTGGTCTGTATTATATCGAAGTTCACTTACTGGGTTTTACAGCCCCCCCCCCCTACACATAATATTGCCCTTACAAATGTTTACCGTAGTAATGAGCTTCTATTTAACATCCAGGTTATTAATTGTAATTATAGTTTTGTGTTTGCTGTAGGAATTTGCTGAAGATGGAATGTGTGTATTCCGAAACGTTCATTGAATATGTTGTTATTCTCCCTATACGCGTAGTTCGAACACAGATTTATAAGAAAAGTAGTCTTTAAAACCTTGTTGAGGAAAAATAATAACTTCGGTTTCTTCAGTAACAGCTAAGCGAATCTACCATTCATGAAGGAAAACTAAAGAAAGAACAACGCCTAATGTGTATAACAGCGCACATTAAATGAGTTTGAGCCATTGACTCCAACACTATTGAGTTTTACGGCCAGAATTACCATTAGGTGTTGTTGTGGCAGTTAAAAGAAACAAACCTCAGATGGTCCCTGTTTGTTGTAATCATAGTTTTATATGAATCATAGTTTCTTTTCCAAGTTTTATCTGGCTCTGATACTCAAACTGGATATAAATTTGGACTGCATTTTTAGGTTATGACCTCTTATGTGAATATTTAATATACATAAAGACATTCAAGATCAATTTATGGTCAAATATAAGATTCGTTATTGTATAAGACAAGGGAATATTGTACTGACATAAATCGTGTTGGGTCAGACAAGAGTAGCCCAGGAGTTAATAATGGGTACTGTTTAATAGCTGTCTTACTCCTTGTCTATTGGTTCCAAATAAAGACGACTAGCTTAATTGGTCCTTGAGTACTATGACGCGAATAATCGAAAACAAAACAAAAAACTCCTCTAATTTTTACTATCATTAGGGTTAATGAATTTGAAATTCATTTCTGGTAATCTTAACAGTAATTTGTTCTCTTTTTACTTTCTTGAGCTTTCATTTCCATTTAATCAATTATATTTTATTCTTAGTAATCGTTATATTGCAATAATAATTATATCGTGTCTTATAATGGGAATAACTGAAACATGGTTAAACGTAGCTGACTTTGTTGACAGAAATTTCTTTGAAATACAGGGTTAAGCTATTTAATAGGGATAGAGTATTAAAGAGGGGAGGTGGAGTGGCTTTATATGTAAAATGTGAGTCACATCCTGTTGAATTTGAGAATATCAAAGATGATAGCAAGGAGATTGAATCCATTTGGGTTTCTATTAGTGTATATAAAGGAAAAAAGGCTTTTAGTAGGAATTTGCTACA